TGGGCGAGGAAACCCACTGATCCAACGTCTGGTCGGGTCGATCTGGTTGAGCTCGTCGCTGGCGAGGTCGATCACGGGCATCTCGGAAAAGCTGGAGCCGACGCTGGTGCCCCTCCCCAGGCGTCGGGACTTGGATGGCGGACGAGTTGAAGCGGAGCCTGCGTCGGACGGAGCACGTTGAAGTTCAGCAAGAGATGCTTCAAGCCTGGCCATCTTCTCATTCATCTGACGTTGAATCTCGAGCCCTGCGTTCTTGGCGGTGGGGTTGCCGTCCTCGGTGTCTAAGAAGGCGGCGTTGGTGGCGGCTTCTTGATGGGCATGCTCGAGTCGGGGAACTCGTAGGTCCATGTCGAGAACTAGGGCTTCGTGAGCTTTCTTGGCCTCATCGAACTTGCCCTCCATGGCGAGCTCAAGAACGGAAATATTCTCCTCAAGTCCTTCTGCAACGGCGAGACGCTCTTTGACATCTTTGATGTCATCCCTCATGGCGTTCATGCCGCCGTTCATTCCCTCGAGAACCCGAAGAAGCTGAGCGTTGGATACCTCGGCGGCGGCCATTGCACTGCCAGGGAACGAGACAAGAAACTGGAGATAAAACTCTGGTGGCAAAATGCCTCAGTGCGCGAAAAGGGTCAACCCCCGACCCTTGTGTCACGGGCCAAGTCGGGAGCAGCCCTGCTCTGACATGGCCAGCTGCCTTGAGGAGATGGCAACTTGAGCCAAAATGACTACGGAAGGAGATTGAGGGGGAGGAGGAGGAGGAGGAGGAGGAGGAGGAGGAGGAGGAGGAGGAGGAGGAGGAGGAGGAGGACGGGTCCCCCAAGTCCTTCGGAGAAACCCTCCACCCCAAGGTCGGCGGGCGGAGCCCAGCGGGGCCGGCCGGGCGGGCGGACCGGCGGGTCGGGCAGACAGGCCCTCGTGCTCGTGCGCGGGAACACACCTGGCGAGTCTCCGACCCGGGGGGTCTTCCCGAGAGTACAGTCGGACTCGATTGAGGAGGGCACGCGAGAGGGCACAGGACCCTTTCCGAGGGGCACACTGCCAGTGGAATGTAGGAGGCATGGGTCGCGAGACACAGGACACAAGGGTACCCTTGACCTGGCAGGGGCGACCTACTAATACGGGCCGGCTGTAGGAGATGTCACGTCGCCTCGTCTTTATCAGGAGGGCGTAGTGACCCAAACGGCGGCCCGAACCTTATCCGAACGTGGCCCCCGAGATTTTCGGACCGCGCCCGAGTGTGACCGACATGTTTGCTTCGAAGTCCATACGATTCAAATTTCGGTCACAAAATCGGACACACTCCGTTTTAGGTCACAATTTCGGGCATGGTTCCAGTCACAGATTCTTCGGCCGGGGCCACACACGTTTCGGCTGATAGGGGCCGGGCGGCATGAGAAGTGCTCATTTACATTATGTGTTTATGTTAAGTATTCGGAAGTAATGACTGTGCTGTGCTAACTATTCGTGTCGTTGCCGCCGCCAACACCCTCGATGTTGACACTTTACGGCTTCGGATATCTTCGTTCAAACCTGTTGGTCCTCGGGGGGGCTCAGTGGCTGGTGCGGTAGCCGTCGCCGACGCCGACGCCACCGCTGTCGAGGTTGGAGGGTCGAGGATCGTGATTCCAGGATTTGGCGCGTTTCTGCCCTTTGGGGGCCTCTGAGGGCCTTCGACGCCACCGCTGCCGTCGCTGCCACCGTCACCGCCCCCGTCAAGGGAAGGGAAGGAGGAGGAGGAGGAGGAGGAGGAGGAGGAGGAGGGAGGTTCATGAGGTTCTGTGCGGTTATGTGGGATCCTGGAAATGTCCTGGATCCTCATCCTGGTCATCACCGTGTATCCTCATCATCTGGTGTCTTCCATCCTTCTCCACATCCTCCTCGTATTGACTCTCCCCTTCCCACCACAGCCGCACCATCATCTCTATCATCACAATTCGAATCTCCCTCCAGCGATTGCATTTGCTCTCAACCATTGTGGTGTTGGGCCTTCGCTTTGACGAGGCAGCGCCCCGCGTTCATTCTGCTCTCGTCCTCTCCTCTTCCTCCTCCTCCCTCTCCCCCTCCTCCCTCCTCCTATCCCTGCCTCAGCCCTCCACACAGGTCAACCATTTCGGCACAACCCTAAAACGTTTCGTGGTCCCATTGAGAGCTCCACCGAAAGCACCAGTGGCTGCGTTCGCATGCGCCAGTCGCACCAATTTCGGCACACCCCGCACGCGCTTCGCGGACCCACACGCCCATAGGGAACTCCACCGAAGGCCCCAGTGGCTGCTTTCGCTCGGGCCCGTCGCACCCATGTCGGCACACCCCTCCCACGCTTCGTGGCCGCATAGGGAGCTCCACTGATGGCCCCAGCGGCTGCGTCGCATGCGCCCGTCGCAGTCATTGTAGCACATCCCTCGCACACTTCGTGGCTCCATAGGGAGCTCCACCGAACGTCCCCCAGTGGTTGCGTTCGCATGTGCCCGCCGCACCCGTTTCGACACAACCCTCACACGCATCGTGGCTCAACAAGGAGCGCCACCGAAGGCCCCAGTGGCTGCCTCGGCATGCGCCCGCCGCACCCATGTCGGCACACCCCTCACACGCTTGGTGGCCCCATAATAGGGAGCAGAAAATCCACCCTCATAATAAGCACCCCGACAAGCGAAGCCGCTTAGCAAACGCACCCAAGGCAGGAATCGAACAGGGCAGGACTGTTTAGTAAACGCCCAGGGCCGTTTAGCAAACGCCAATCATCGGGGTCGGGTTTGTTCCCCATTGATATAGGGAGCTCCATCAACTGCAGATGAGTGGGACCTTCGCCTGGATATCCCCCATAGAGATCTCCACCGAAGGCCCCAATGGCTGCGTTCGCATGCGCCCGCGGAACCGGTTTCGGCACACCCCTCACACGCTTCGTGGTTCAATAGGAGCTCCACCGAAGGCCACAATGGCTGCGTTCGCCTGCGCCCGCCGCACCCATGTCGGCACACCCCTCGCACGGGGCCCCGGAGGAGAGCCACCGAAGGCCCCAGCGGCTGTGTTCGCATGCGCCCGCCTCACCTCTTTCGGCACACCCCTCACACGTTTCGTGGCCACATAGGGGGCTCCACCGAAGGCCCCAGTGGCTGCGTTCGCAAGCTCCGTCCGCACTCATTTCGGCTCACCCCTCACACGATTCGTGGCCCCGGAGGGAGCGCCACCAAAGGCCCCAGTGGCGGTGTTCTCATGAGTCCGCCAAGCTTATTTCGGTGCGTCCCTCACACGTTTCGTGGCCCATAGGGAGCTCCACCGAACGCCCCAGTGGCGGTGGTCGCGTGCGTCCGCCCCACTCATTTCGGCATACCCATAGGGAGCTCCACCGATGGCAACAGTGGCTGCGGTCGCATGCGCTCGCCGCACACATTTCGGCACATTCCTCGCACGCTTAGTGGCCCCATAGGGAGCTCCACGGAAGACAATACTCACAACTGCGTGTTACTCAGAACTGCAGATGGTTGGGTCCTTGGCCAGGCTAATCGTATATTCGGTCAGCCGTATGCCCAGCTGCTGCTGCTCCACGCCTTTGGCTGCCCCCTTGGCACCCCTGACGGGGGCCCAGCGCACGACCTCGCGAGATTTCAGGATATGGCTAGCTCAAGATACAGTGCCAGAGTTCCGTAAGATCTGGCGGTCCTCTTCATGGAGCCCGAGAGGAGCAATCGGAACCCATGGAAACCACAGAAATCATGGAAATCTGTAACGTAGCATTACGATGACCTCTTGCGCCTCTGCGGTGGAGGCAACCTCGCGATGGTTTGCCAGAGGCAGCCAAACGTTGGACAGTTCCGACCTCGAGCGCGCCGCTGGCGAGCCTCGCCTGCCCTTTCCCCCAGCGAGCACGCGGAGGACGCACTCTGCGAGCTGGGCACGGCAGCCTGCACGGCGCGGGAGCTGCATCCTCCATCGCATGTATGAGCCTGCGGCGGGCCCTGACATCCTCGCATCGCGACAGACACACACACACACACTCGACCACACAACGACCCCTGACGTGCCCCAGCGCCGTCAAGGACACGCATCTGGATGAAACACCGGTCGCCTGAAGTACCAGATCTGTGTGCAGCCACGCTGCGAAAACAACAAAAAGCGTCGGATGTCTGGGGGTGCTGGTGCCAGGGCACTAGATGACGGAACAGGTACTTTCAGTCGAGGGCACTGGCGGGTACAGCAGCAGCGAGGAGACCCTGCAATGCACCTTGAAACTCTGACAGACTGCACGAAGCCTCAATAATATCCGCCTCTGTCCCCGGCCTCCTTCGCTCCCTTCTATAAGGGGGAACGTTGGGGGGACCTGCTCAGATAGAGGGAACCTCAACCTGGAATCGGCGATACATCGCCGCTGGATCGGCGACAGGCCCCCCGATGGCGAAACCGCACGTTCCTCGGCGAGGTGGGCTGTCAGGCCCAGTCGACGATCAGTGGGCGATTGGGGATCGATGCTTCCCTCCCTAAACCGTCGATGTTTCCCCCCTAGGTCTATTCCCCCCTAACGCTGCCACCGATATGGGCAGGAGGAGGAGGAGAAGGAGAAATTGTCTGACATTGGCAACGCCTGCCCATTGGCTCACTCGACTCGGCAGCACGAGCACCGAGCACCACTCCGTCGAGAGTCGAAGGCGCCTGCCTCTCAGGATCCTGTGAATAGGCGATTCATCCGCGACATCGACGCGATGATAATCTGGCTCCACGTCGAGCCGCATCGCTAGTACATCGGCGATACGGCGCCATCCTCCGACCCCTGACAAGAGGGAGGAGGCCGACGACGAAGAGGACGGCGACGCCTCCTTGAGGACCCCCCAACACCGCGAGGGCTGTTGCGGGGGAGGCGACGACGACGACGACGACGACGACGACGACGACGACGACGACGACGACGACGACGACGACGACGACGTGGCTCCCCCCCCCCGCGAGGGCCGTCGCGGGGGAGGCGGCGGCGCGCGGCGCGGCGGGCCCCCCGGGGGCCCCGCTGCCTCCTTGCAGCGGTCCAGGACGACCTGGAGGCTCTCCTAAGGCCGGGGCCCGCCGCCCTCGCCACCGCCGCCACCGCCGTCATCGTCGTAGCTGTCGTGGTCGCCGTCGTCGTCCTCGTCGTCGTCGTCACCGCCGTTGTCGTCGTCATCGCCACCGTCTAAGGCATGAACGATTCTTGCCCTGGTGCCGGTGCCGGTGCTGGTGCCGGCGCCGGTGCCGGTGCCGGTGCCGGCGCCGGTGCCGGTGCCGGTGCCGGTGCTGGTGCCGGTGCCGGTGCTGGTGCCGGTGCCGGTGCCGGTGCCGGTGCCGGTGCCGGTGCCGGCGCCGGTGCCGGTGCCGGTGCCGGTGCCGGTGCCGGTGCCGGTGCCAGTGCCGGTGCTGGTGCCGGTGCCAATGCTGGTGCCGGTGCTGGTGGCCGGTGCCGGTTGCCGGTGGCCGGTAGCCGGTGCCGGTGCCAGTGCCGGGGCCGGTGCTGGTGCTGGTGCCGGTGGCCGGTGCTGGTGCGGGTTCTTGTTTTCCCAGAACATCCTCTCCTTCTCCCTCCCGCCTCCCGCCTCCCAGCAGTGCCCCTCCCGCCCCTCCAGGGAGGCCCCGCCTGAGCGAGGAGGGTAACGGGAACCCATGCTATTTACATGGTTTCGTGCCCTTCCCACCTCTCCAGGGAGGCCCCGCCTGAGCGAGGAGGGCATCCCACCCCTCCAGCAGGGAGGCCCCGCTTGACTGAGCGAGGAGGGTATCGGAAACCCATACTATTTACATGGTTTCGCGCCCCTCCCACCCCTCCAGGGAGGCCCCGTCTGAGCGAGGAGGGCATCGGAAACCCACACTATTTACATGGTTTCGTGCCCCTCCCTCCCCTCCAGGGAGGCCCCGCCTGAGCGAGGAGGGAATCGGGAACCCGTACTATTTACAAGGCTTCGTGCCCTTCCCACCTCTCCATGGAGGCCCTGCCTGAGCGAGGAGGGAATCGGAAATTAATAAAGATTACATGGTTTCGCGCTCCTCCCACCCCTGCAGGCAGGCCCCGCCTGAGCGAGGAAGGTATCGGAAACCCATACTATTTACATGGTTTCGCACCCTTTCCATCCGCCTGAGCGAGGAGGGTATCGGAAACCCATACTATTTACATGGTTTCGCGCCCTTTCCATCCGCCTGAGCGAGGAGGGTATCGGAAACCCATGTTACTTACATGGTTTCGTGCCCCTTTTCACACCTCCAGGGAGGCCCCGCATGAGCGAGGAGGGTATCGGAACTCATGCGATTTACATGTTTTCGTGCCCCTACCACCTCTCCAGGGAGGCCCCGTCTGAGCGAGGAGGGTATCGGAAACCCATACTATTTAAATGGTTTCGTGCCCCTCCCACTGACATGGGTGAGGAGGAGGGGAGAACATTACCTATCCATCTCACGTCCTACTCCTCCCACTGAGGAGGGTGAGGAGGAGGGGTAGTTCTGCGATGAGGAAGGCTTCATCATGATGATGGTGAAGACGATGGTTACACTGCTGTTCACGATGACGGCGATAATGGTGATGGACGATGACAATGGCGACAACGGTGATCATGATGATGATGCTGATGATGATGACGATGATGATGATGATGACGATGACGATGATGACAACGATGGCGACGACGACGACGAGGATGATGATGCAGATGCTGGTGATGATGACGATGCTGCTGCTGATGCTGACGTTGCTGGTGCTGTTGATGATGATGACGACGATGATGCTGGTGATCATGACGTCCACGATGATGCGGACGATGATGATGCCAAGGACGGTGATGGTGATGATGATGACGATGCTGATGATGATGATGATGATGTTGATGATGATGATGATGATGATGATGATGATGATGACGATGGTGGCGACGACGATGATGATGATGACGATGACGCTGGCGATGATGATGATGCTGATGATGATGAGGATGATGATTATGGTTATGATGATGCCGATGATGCTGACGATGATGATGATGATGATGATGATGCTGGTGATTGATGATGATGATGATGGTGGTGATGATGCCGAGGATGAGGAGGACGAGCAGGAGCAGGACGAGGAGGAGGAGGAGGACTCGCTTGAACGAGGAGGGCCGCGGACAGCATTACTCTTTACCAGGTTTCGTAGGCCTCCCCCCTTCCAGCGGGGCCACGCCTGAGCGAAGAGGGTATCAACAACCCGTACTATTTACAAGGCTTCGTTTCCTGAGCACCTGTCCTCCCTCCTCCTTTTTTTCGTCTGCCCTTTCGTGCGTACTTACTCGTTCGATGAGCTTCTCCTTCGTGTTGATGTTGTCGTACCCCATGGGTCCCACGAAACTGTTAATATTTTTTATGTTGGGAACTGCGTTTGCATAATTTTACCATTGATTGGACTGCAATCGATTCCACTGGGTTTGCACTTGATTGGCTTGCAACCGATTGGATTGCAACCGCTGGGGGGGCGCACAGGGCAGCGACGAGGAGGCGGCGACGGGACGGTGACGGCGACGAGCAAGGAACCGCCAGACCGACCCTCAGGCCAAGACGACGGGCGGCGACGACGCAGCAAGGGGGGGCGACGGCAAGGACGGAAAAACCAGACCGCCCCTCAAGCCCAGACGACGACGGGCGGTGACAGGGCGGCAACGGCGAGGAGGAGAGAGCCGCCAGACCGCCCCTCAGACGACCCAGCTAACACTAGGAAAGAAGAGAGAAGGCCCCCTAAGTGCAAGCACTGTTTGGGAAATGTCATGATGTTCAATGTCAATGATGTTTTTCATCCGGTGCCAGTGCTGGCGCCGGCGCCGGTGCCGGTGCCGGTGCGGTGCCAGGGCTGGTGCCGGTGCGGTTGCGGGTGCGGGTGCGGGTGCAGTGCCGGTGCTGGCGCCGGCGACGGCGACGGCGCTGGTGCCCGTGCCGGTGCCGGTGCCAATGCCGCCGGCGCAGGCGCCGGTGCCGGTGCCGGTGCCCGTGCCGGTGCCGGTGCCGGTGCCGGTGCCGGTGCCGGTGCCGGTGCCGGTGCCGGTGCCGGTGCCGGTGCCGGTGCCGGTGCCGGTGCCGGTGCCGGTGCCGGTGCCGGTGCCGGTGCCGGTGCCGGTGCCGGTGCCGGTGCCGGTGCCGGTGGTGCCGGTGCCGGGTGCCGGTGCCGGTGCCGGTGCCGGTGCCGGTGCCGGTGCCGGTGCCGGTTGCCGGTGCCAGTGCCGGTGCCGGTGCCGGTGCCGGTGCCGGTGGGCGAGAATCGTTCTATAGTGCACCGTCTGCGTCGTCAGCTTCCTCCCCCTCCTTCTCCTCCACGTCCTCCTCCAGTACTCCTCCTCCTGGGTCATTACTCCGCCTCGCCTCCTCCTCCTCCTCCTCCTCCTCCTCCTCCTCCTCCTCCTCCTCCTCCTCCTCCTCCTCCTCCTCCGGGTCCTTCGTGGTGGCGGCGCTCGCGGCTGGGCGGTCTCAGCCCGGGCGGGAGGGGGCTTTCATTTACTTGATCTATTAAATGACAGCCCCTCATCCTCCGCCTCCGCCTCTTCCTCCCCCTCTGCCTCCTCCCACCTTCCTGTACTCCGCTGTAGTATACGCCGCGGGATAGTGTGTAAGCACTACTCGGTAGGCCCCTCTCCGCTGTTCTGGGCGTCCTGCCTGAGCGGGAAATTCAAGGCCAAATTCTGCGAGAACCTGGGCAGGCCCCATCTCGCCTCCTCCCATCCCTCCTCCGACACTCCTCCTAGATCCTCCTTCTGTCCTTTCGTCCCTCCTCCTCCCTCACCCCTCCTTATCCTCATCTTCGCCCTCTCATTCTCTCCCTGCCTTCTCGCTCCGTCGTTCTACTTCCCATCACCCTCCTCTGCGTGTGCATTTGCAAAATGCCTCGCAATGTTGCTACACAGAAAGAACCATCTGCCACAGTGGCTCTCGGCACGGCGTGGGCTTGTCCTCAGGTCGTCGGCCTAATCCTCGAAGCCCCGATCCTCACCCCTGGGGATTCTCCTAAGGGCCCGGAGCACAACTTGCTGAATTTAGCGACGCTTCTCGCGTGGCCCGAGTGCTCCCCCGCATCGTGTCGCGCGACTTTGTCGGACCCAAAGGGGCCCCGAGACGGGCCAGGAAGGCCCAATAGACCCTCCAGACGGCTCAAAGAGGGCTCCGAGTCGCCGAACTATTGCTCCAAGACGCCGAAGATGACTCCAATACGGTCCAGGAGGCCGCCAAGGCACCCCAAGAGGCCTCCCAAAAAGGCCCCAAGAGGCCAAAATCATTGATTGTCCTAGCTTTTTGAAGGTTTTTGGTCGTCTCGCCGTTTCGGCTTCCCGACGCTCCAAGACAGCCCAAGAGGCCCCAAGACCACCCCAAAACGGTCCAAGAGGCCTCAAAGTTGGCCTCAGGACGGTCTAAGAGCGCCCCAAGAAGGCCCAAGACGTGCCCAAGACGGCCCCAAAAGAGACCCAAGAGAGGGAACACGAACGGAAAATCCGAGCCTTCCGCCCCAAGAGGCCCCCAGGAGGCCCCAAGAGGTGACCAGAAGGCCCCAAAAGCCCCCCCAGACGCCCCCCAAGAGGCCCCAAGAGGCTCCCAAGAGGCCCCAGGAGGCTCCCAAGAGCCCCATGAAGGCCTCCAAGAGGCCTCCGAAGTGCCTCCAAAAGGCCCCAGGGAGGCCTCCCACGAGATCCCAGCAAACACTCAGTAGTCTTCATACCCATAACCCAGGCACGATGGCGGGATGTGCCGAAAGCCATTAGATCCGCTGCCCCCTGTTGGCTTGCCACAAGGGTGCCCGGCGTGCTGGACCCTTTCGGTTTGGGGATTGGTTCTTTTTCAAGAAGAACTCTCCCCTGGGGCTCTGGCCCAGCCCGCCGGCCACCGGAAGGACCCGAAAGGGTACTCAAAATGTCCGGGTGGATGCCCCATTCGCCTCCAAGACGGCCAAGATGGCCCAAGATGGCCTCCAAGATGCCTCCAAGATGACTTCCAAGACGGCTAAGATGGCCCCATGATGCCTCCAAGACGGCCCAAAATGCAGCCAAGACGGCCGAAGATAGCCTCAAGATGGCCCAAGACGGCCCAAGAGGCCTCCAAGAGGCCTCCAAGACAGCCCAAGAGGCCTCCAAGAGGTCCTCCAGAAAGGCTCGAAGAGATCCAACATATGGATTTCCCGTAGGCTTTTGAAAGATGTTGGCATTTGCTTCTATTCGGCTTTCCGATGGCCCGACACTGCCCAAGAGCCCCCAAAGATCGCCCCAAGATTGCCCCAGGGACCTCCAAAATGGCCCCAGAACGGCCCAAGGCCCCCAAGACCCGCCCTGGAGGGCCCCAAGACGGCCCGAGTGGCCTCCAAGACGCCCAAGATAGCATCCAAGACGGCCCTGGAGCACCCCAAGAGGGCCCCCAGTCGGCCCAGAGCCCACCAAGACGACAATCTTGCTCTAAGATTGCCTAAGATGGCCCAAGAGGCCTCCAAGAAGTCTCCAAGACGGCCCAAGAGGCCTACAAGAGGGCCTCCAGGAAGGCCCGACGAGACCAAATCATTGATTCTGTTGATTTCTGACGGATTTTGGCACTTGCGTTGTTTCGTCCTCCCGACGGCAAGAGTCCCCAAAGATCGCCCCAAGATCGTCCCAGGGACCTCCAAGATGGCACCAGAACGGCCCAGCAGGCCCCCAAGACCGCCCAAGGAGGGCCCCTAGACGGCCCAAGAGGCCTCCAAGACGCCCTAGACGGACTCCAAAACGGCCCTGGAGCACCCCAAGAGGGCCCCCAGTCGGCCCAGAGAGCCCCCCAAGACAGCTTCCGACGGCGTCAGAAAGGCCAGGAGACCACCAAGACTGCCCAAGATGGCTCTAAGATGGCCTAAGATGGCCCAAGAGGCCTCCAAGAAGTCTCCAAGAGGGCCTCTAGGAAGTCCCTGTGGTTTGTGACGGATGGTGTCAGTTGCTCCTTTTCGGCCGTCAGACGCCCCAAGACGGTCTCCAGGATGGCCCCAGAACGGCCCGAGAGGCCCCCAAGACAGCCCCAAGAGGGCCCCCAGAAGACCCAAACGGCCTCCAAGATGCCCAAGATGGCCTCCGAGGCGGCCCTGGAGTACCCCTGAAGGGTTTCAGGTCGGCCCAGAGAGGCCCCCAAGACGGCATCCGACGGCGTAAGACGGGCCAGGAATGCCCTGAGACGGCCAGAGAGGCCCCCGAGAAGCCCCAAAAGGCCCCCAAGAGGTCCAAGGCTCCCAGGAGGCCCCAAAATTGCCCCCAGAGGCTCCCAAGATGTCCCCTCCTCCTTCCTCCTCCTCCTTCTCCTCCTCCTCCTCCTACTCCTTCTCCTCCTCCTCCTCCTCCTCCTCCTCCTCTCCTCCTCCTTCTCCTCCTCCTCATCCTGATTTTCCCCGCCATCCTCCCCCAAGTGTTCCCCGACGGGTTTCCACAACGGTTGGGGGAACACATGGTCCGATAGCTTGGCAGAGCTCTTGCCACAACGCTCGGCCACATGGGCGATTTCAAAAGCAGGGGGCGGCAGTGATTCGCTGTAGGCGTCTTCGATCCGCCGCCCCCTGTGGTCTTCCCACAGGAGCGCCCGGCGTGCTGAACCCTATCGCGTTTGGCTTCGGTTCTTTCCCCAAAAACCTCACCCTGAGGTTTCGGCTCGTCCGGCCGGCCACCCGGAAGGCTCTGGGCGGGGTGGCTCCAAAGGTTTCCCTGCTCCATATGGCTCCAAGATGGCCTCCAAGACGGCCAAGATGGCCTCCGAATTCGCTCAAGATCATCATCATCGGTATCGTCATCAGCATCAAGATCAACGGTATCAGCGGTATCACCATCATCATCAGTGTCATCATCAGCAACATCATCAGCATCATCGTCGTCATCACCATCAGCATCATCACAATCAATACCATCGTCAGTATCATCAGCATCATCATGGTCGCCAGCGTCGGTGCTGGCATTGATTTTATCACGATCATCATGATCAGCATGATCGTGGTCATCATCATCATCATCATCATCATCATCATCATCATCATCATAATCCTCAGCATCATCATCATCATCAGCATCATCATCATCAGCATCATCATCATCATCAGCAGCATCATCATCATGACCATCATCATCATCATCATCATCATCATCATCATCATCATCATCATCGTCATCGTCATCATCACCATCGCAATCATATCTTCATCAGAAGGATCGCCATCTACACAATCACCATTTCCTCATGCAACTTTCCTCCTCCCTCTCTCCTGCTCCTCGTCCCCCTCACTATCATCATCATCATCATCATCATCATCACCATCATCATCATCATCATCATCATCATCATCATCATCATCATCACCATAGTCATCATCAGTATCGGCAGCATCAGCCTAGCATCAGCATAAGCATCAGCATCATCAGCAGCATCAGCATCATAATCAGCATCATCATCATCATCATCATCATCATCATCATCATCATCATCATCATCATCATCCTTATCATCACCGTCACCATCACCATCACAGTCGTCATCATCATCAACATGACCATAATCATCCTTCATCATCCTCCTTCCTCGCACCTAACACCAAGTCACCCTCCCATCTCCCACTTATCCATACTCTGTTCTGCTCACTTCACTTCCACTCCCACCCCGCCGTCCCGCGTCCTCCTCCCACCTCCTCATGATCCCTCCCGTTCACATTCTCCTCCTCCTCCTCATCATCATCCGCCTCCTCCTCCTTCTCCTCACCCTCACCCTCATCCTCACTTCTCCTCCGCCCTCATCCCTCCATCGTCATCCGTCTTCATCTTGCTTTATCCGTCCTCTCGTCTCCTCCCACCTGACGTCGTGTTTCCGTTCGCCTCCCTCCATCCCTTCCACTTCATCCTCCTCCCCACCCCGTACTATCGATCCTCTTCTTCATCAGCACAATCATTCATGACTCTTCCTCGTCGTCCTCATACTTGTGGCCCGCCTCCTCCCTTCTCCTCCTCCTCCTCCCTACTCCCTCTTCCTCCTCCTCCTCCTGCTACTCTTCCTCTCCCTTCTTCTCCTCACTCCGCTTTCCCTCCTCCCCTCCTCCCCCCATCCCCTCTGTCACCCCCCCGTCTCGATCCAGCTGTAGCGCGTCGAGGGCGGTGGTGTCGCAGAGGCTGTCCGATATGCTCTTCAGCCCCGTACCTGCGCTCTGGTAGGGCACGCCCTGCGGGACCCTTCCACCCCCTCGTGCCTCCTCCTGGGTCATCTTCCTGCAGCTCGTCCACGTCGTCCTTGTCCACGTCCTCACCCTCGTCCTCGTCCTCCTCCTCCATGCATTTCCCGTATAGATAACTTCTCCCTGTCGCACCCCGAGGCCAATCTATAGGACTTCCCGGCGGTTCGCCTGAACTTCCTCACCACTGATGACTCTGAAGCTTAAAGGTTGACAACACTTTCGCAGATGGAGGGCGACTCGTTTTCAAAATGTGTCTCTCGTCTTAGCGCGGCGCACATTCGTTATAACACGTTGCAAGAGTTTCACGGATTGAGGACGGGTCGTTATCAAAAGGTGGCTCTCGCATTAGCGCCGCGTTTTAAACCAAATGCAGAAGCTTCACGGTTTGAGGGCGGGTCGTTTTCAAAATTTGGCTCTCGCCTTAGCGCCGCGCGCATTGCTTTAAACAATGCAAGACCTTCACGGCGTGAGGGCGGGTCGTTTTCAAAATGTGGCTCTAGTCCTAGCGTGGCGCACATTCGTTCTAAAAATGCAAGAGCTTCACGGCTTCAGGGCGGGTCGTTTTCAAAATGTGGCTCTCGCCTTAGCGCCGCGCGCAGTCGTTTCAAACAGTTGCTAGAGTGTCACGGATCGAGGGCGGGTCGCTTTCGAAATGTGGCTCTCGCCTTAGCGCGGCGCACATTCGTTAAAAAGAGTTTCACGGATTAAGGGCGGTTCCTTTTCAAAATGTGGCTCTCGCCTCAGCGCCGCGCACATTCGTTTTTAAATGTTGCAAGAGCTTCACGGATTCCCCTCATCAACGTACCAGAAATGGCATCTGGGAAATATTCAGGACTATGCGGCTACAACAAGCAACGTTGATTCTCTGTATTGAAGTCCTAGGAATGGCGTCCTGGCACGATTCAGGATCGTCAAGACGCCAGTCAAGTTGATCCGTGGGGTTGGAATCCCGAGAAGAATGTTTTGGCATGCTTCACGGTCGTCAGATGGGTGTCTTCCAACGAGGCAGTTACACCAATAAAAATAAACCTTGTAGGGGACTATCAAGAGGAAGCTTGGAGGAAGGGTGTACTCCAACATCGTCGGTGACTCTTGGGTCTACCTTGGTCCTCCTCCTCCTCCTCCTCCTCCTCACCCTACTCCCCCGCACTCGTCCCTCTCCCCCTCCGCATCCTCTGCTTCCCTCTCCCCCTCCGCATCCTCTGCTTCCTCCTCCAACTCCTCCTCCATATCCTCCAGCCAATCAATATCTTCATCGTTACCTCAGTCTTCTGTCCCCCATGTCAACCCCTTACTGGGAACACGAAGCGTGTTACAAAGCAGGGACTGCTTGCACTCTATCAGTCGTAGCAACGCAAGCACTCAAACAAGTGTCTGAGAATATCGCGGCGAGCAATTGCTGAATCGTTTGCTTCACAAGAAAGTATCGCGACCATGAGCCAATTCCGAGGCAAGCAGCTGGTAGACATCGCGGTGCATCCGTTTCGTCCCCACCGCAAGGAACCTTGTAGTAACAGCCCTTCCTCGCGTATCTCCGGTCCGCGCCGCTGCCACTGGCAGATCGAAACCCTCCCGCAGGACCTTGGCCGTCACACGTCCGTAAGAAACGCTGCAGAACTCGCACAGCACCTTGCTGGCTGTCGGCTACTTCTTGCTTTGTCTTCTGATCCTCTGCCTGTCTCTTCCCCGCCAGCTCAGAGGGTTGCGGCAGCGAAGCTGCAATCATGATGTCCTGATCCTCTGTGCTCTGTGCTTTACCATCTGACGGAATCTGTCTGCGGAAGCCTGGCCCGCCGGCCCCCTTGCGGGGCCACCAGGCCCAGAGC